GGCCAAGATAAAAGTACATGTCATTCATCCCCACATTATATCCCTTTTATAGACACGGGACATCGTTGTTACAGGTAGGGCAAACACTTTTTTCTATATCTGCCGGTTTGACGCTACATACATGTGTTCAGATTATCGAGAAAACTAGCGACGCAAGTTCTCCTCCTTCACACCAGAGACCATATAATCTATCATATGGCCTTTGATTACACATATAATTGTATAGATACCCAGTGTTTATTGATAGCGATGAAGCAACTTATCACAATTTATTTGTGTTATTCTTTAATCTGCGATTAGAATTTATATCAGTTTTGACGTGAGCATATGTTAAGAAAAGAGAAGCTGTAAAACGAAATGTATTGTGATCGAACCTATAGGCCTTTGTAAAAGCGAGTTTCAAGCCACCTACATAAAAACCTGTTTTCATGATAAATATCTGCTAATCCTTGGCACTATTCCAACCATATCATTGGCATGTGTTTGTGAATCATAATCAAATAGTGATGTTACATGGCGTCCATGCCGCGTCAACAACACATTCAAACAAGGAGTGGCTACCATTATAAAAAACAGCTCGAGCTCACACATGATCTTTGCTAAAAAATAATTTTTCTTCTAATTCTTGCCAAAAATACCTACAAACTCTCCATTCCTTAAAAATAATGTGCCTCGGCCCCTCCGACCTTTTTGTCTAAGGCGTGTAGACTCCTGGTGCCTTTTAGTATTCGTTGAATAGTTCAGGTCAATGTTTGGTGTATTTTATTGCTGGGAACCCGCTGGATGTTGTAACATACTACTCCTACTCCTCATCGTCGCCCTCAGGGTGATATTGGTCAATCCAATATGATTGTTGCAGTATTCATGTACATCCTGTATATTGAATTGAGATAGACAGACCCTAACTTATTAAATGATTATTGTTAAACACTGACTTAACCTACATGAGGAAGGGGGTCTTAAAACGCCATATCGCTGCTTTAAACACATGGAAACGTTTATTCGATGTATGCAGACTAAGATGCTTGCAAACTGCTTTGGGCCAAAGAAGTCGATTTTGTCCCATCGTTGGTCTTGTGTATTGGAGTAAAACAACAGCTGCCTTAAAGTGTGTTTTGCTTTCCATATATATATATATACAATCCATTGTTCACACTGGGCAATCAAGTGACACTAGGTGTGAAATGCACAGGTACACCTGGGGGTATTTCGGTGAAAAAGACCGACTGCGCATAACGTGCAGGAAATCTCGAATCGATTGTTTCATTACATGACGTGTCGAACTGACCAATGGGACTTCTGTTTGGGGTGACCCACCTCATCAGGACCACGATGTTTGTTATGTGTATAAACTTGCTTTGTCATGTGAAATTAGCATGTAAATATATTGTTGTTTATACAGGTGAGGCATTCCTACCCTTAGATACCAAGATATTTAATTTGGATCTTTTGTAAGACTCTATTATGTGCATTTTGTCAAGTAAAATTAGTATGTAAATATCATGCGTATGTCACTGAACAGTCCTCTGACCTACGACCTTTCTCAAGACGTCACATAATGGTCTGTAAAAGTCTTGAGAAAAGACATTGACATTTATGTATATTTGCTCTTGAAAATCTTGTTCAGCACGATATGCCTTTCAATTTAGCTATTGTGTGAAATCTCAAATATTTGGTGTGTGTTCATGTTGCATTTCAACTTTGATCATGGCAAATGCCGTCAGACCTGAAGTGATCTCACATATATCCATATATGTTCGTGACACTTGTTTCATTGATAAGTCCTTTTCACCTTTAGAGGGGGTTAAAGAAGAGTAAAATTATTTTCCGCCTGAGAGGGTATGAAAGTCCCAACACATTCGAAGTAAATGTAGATCTACCGGGTTTATAATTGTGGGATATACATGTATGTGTTTATAAGTAGTGATGGCTACATTATAGCACAACGCCGTAAGCCCATCTATGGTCCATGCGGTTATGGCTCGGGAAAGCGAAATCTGGACCAAACCTCCTCAATTTTGGTGTCGCTTTCGCGGGAACGGTCAAGCTACACTGAACACTTAATTGAGCGTTCCCGGGACTCTCAATACACAAGCAAAACAAAGAAATGTCAGTCGTCGCCTGATACCGTAGTCATGGTAGAAATTTAATAAATAAATAACAATAAATATTTGAGTTACAGACTGTTCACCGATAAGTCACATTGATGGATCATGTGGAGGTAGATCACTGAAGGTGGATCAGGTCAGAGACGTGATCAGTGTAATTCTTTCTCAGTTAATCTCAGTTAACAGGCTTCAAAACTAAAATATTTAATCTTTAATTACCTTAATTAGACAGAGGTACAGATAAGCTGCGTATGTGCGTAAATTACGCAAACATTTATGAGAAAACTCAATTCCTTTCATGTCTATTGCGTATAAGTACGCTTGAATTTTTGTAAATACTCAATAAATTTGATCTAACATGCGTACTGTAACATTCAGCAATCCTAGTAGAATTTGAAGTAAGCAGACCCATGTGCTACAGATGGAGGTTACTGAGGGTAGATAGAATAACTGACTCAGAGGTATATTGTGAGGTTCTGTTTCAGCACACGATCTTGGCAACTTGCAGTCTTTCTTATCTTTTCTCATATTACAGATCAAATATAAACAGCACACACGTTAACCAACATTTAAACTTTATTCTATTTTCACAAATAATGGAAAATGGCAAAATACCCAATTGAGTTTGAGTGAGGTGAGTACAATTCATTTGGTTACTCAAATGAAAATTAGCATACCCAATTGAGATGACTGACTGACTGCCTGAGTTTGGTTTTACGCAGCTTTTAGCAATATTCCAGCAACATCACGGCGGGGGGACACCAGAAATGGGCTTCACACATTGTACCCATGTGGGGATTCGAACCCGGGTCATCGGCGTGACGAGCCAACGCTTTAACCACTAGGCTACCCCACCGCCCCCTCAATTGAGATGAACCCAAGCGAGTACATAACTCAATGACCCAAAAAAGTTATATGTAGCTCTGTTGATCTTTGTTAGACAATTTCATATGTAAAAGAGACCGACTTATTCATAAGGTAACAGGAAACTTCATGTCAGTTAAGAGGCTGACAGATCTAGTATTGGGGTCGCGCGCTAATCTGAAGTAAGGTAATCCGTTGTTTTCATAGAAATTCGCTTTCGCGGCACTACCAGCACAACTTTGGTTTTCTCTTTACCGGGAATAGGGAATATTGAAATTTCGCTTTCCCGGGCCGACACCGTCCATGCAGGTAGCAAAGGTACTGTAAGTCCCCATGGTGATCTATCTTCAGTTCCTGGTGGTCTGGAACTTGTATATATATTGTGTATTGTCCGTATAGTGCTATTATATTTAACATTAAGTGCTAGCCAAGATTTATATCTGATTGTGATAGTCTAATTGTTGTACTATCCCTTGACGACAGGTTTAATAATGTACATTTATGCCTTATCAATGTTAAACTGGTTCACGTCGAGGTATGGCTGAAATATTTCCGATGTGACGATTAACTCACTCACTTACACTCAAATCGTTTTCATCTACAGTGATTTGTTTTCATAAGGTGAGGTGAGGTGAGGTGAATGGGGTTTAACGTCGTGCTTGAGAATATTTCGCTCATATGACGACGTGCATGCGTGTGTATGTGTATGTGTATGTGTATGTGTATGTGTATGTGTGGCTGCTTGTACTAGCCCAGAATGAAGCTGGTTTTATAGTGCTAGCTCACTGAGATACCATGCCACAGTGAAGCATGAATACCCCACTCAGACACATTATACTGACTCCGAGCCGACCAGTCCTTGTTGTACCCATTAATGCCGAGCGCCAGGCAGGGACCAACAAGTACCACATGTTAACGTCCTTTGGTATGACGCGGTCGGGGATCGAACTTCTGCTCTCAGGGCGGACGCTCTAACCACTACACCACGGAGGCGGTCGTTTTCATAAGGATAAAATGAAACAATTCTTATTGTGTTTAGAGAAAAAAATTAACGTAGAAAGAATTTTGTCAAGTTAGTGTCCAGATAGCTATAGACATTGATATTAATATTTTTGGCAAACCAAATTAAATGAATTTTGAAATGAAGTTTAGCTCGTCAGTGGGTCAAACTGTTTCGCCCATTGTGCACTGACATTTATTACTGTTTTGAGTAATAGTAAATATTCTCGCCCATGGGCGAGATATTTTTATGACGCTCTAAATAAGAGTTAAATTAAGTCAAAATGATTTAAATTTTGTGTCATGGCACCTACAAACATTCATTAACAACCTTTTAAACATGAAAAAACATGTATTTTGAGCAAACGTTAACATTCTCGCCCATGGCAAAACCCTTTTCGCCGATGCACGAGATTGTTTTAATATAATTTAAATTAACAACGCTCTAAATTAGTAGAAAAACGAATGAAATCAAAAATATTTTAATTTTGTGTCATGATACTTATTATTATACTTTCATTTATTTACAACCTCCAAAACATGAAAACATGCATTTTCAGAAATATTCATGATAACTGCATGTTGAATTTTGTCGAATCTTTTGTCAGAAACTGGCCACAATGCGGAGAGTGTCTAGACTTTTGGACGTCTAGAATTAAACTGTGACGTGTTATTATATTTCGGAGATTACTTGGCTCAAAGTAGATTCGTATTGTGTGCCTTATCTAAAATATCCAGTACAGGCTTCCAAGCAACACAACCTATGACCAGACACCTGTAGTCCATCAGATGACATTCTAGCCTTCTTCCAAACACTCTACTACCCAAATGTCTTTTTCCTTTGAATTAAGCCGAATTTGCATAAACAGCAAAGGTAAAGAACAAGTCAAAACCAACTACCAATCTGCAAACCTAAAACAACATGCTGCCGTAGATCAACAGAGGGGATATATGTTCCATATTTGTCGCAGTATATTTGTGATGCAACACACATGATATCTCTTAGATTTAATCCATGTGTGACATCAGTTTCTCTCCACAGGATGGATCAAGACGTGAGAGAAGAAACAACGGTTTTCATCAATAAGGAAATCATATTTGGAGATAAAGCACCCGACCCTGACATTTCGACACATTAGATTTAATCCATGTGTGACATCAGTTTCTCTCCACAGGATGGATCAAGACGTGAGAGAAGAAACAACGGTTTTCATCAATAAGGAAATCATATTTGGAGATAAAGCACCCGACCCTGACAGTTCGACACCAAAGCGTGACAAGTGGGACCGCAAGTTGGACTTTATCTTGTCCCTCGTTGGGTATTCAGTTGGAGTGTCTAATCTGTGGAGATTCCCCTATTTATGCTTACGAAATGGAGGAGGTAAATACTGTTTATAATGAATAGTGTTATGTCACAGTGTATTGTACTGTGAGTGTAATCTGTAAGATTCAGTAGAGGTTTTAACAGTTGTGAGTGAACAACAATTCGTATTCAGGGGTGTACAGTGTACAAGGCGTGATTTAGAACGTGGAACACCCGTGAAGATCCGGGTTAGAAAATTGATCTTCAGTAACCCATGCTTGTCGTAAGAGGCGACTAACGGGATAGGGTGGTCAGGCTCGCTGACTTGGTTGACACATGTCATCCGTTCCCAATTGCGTAGATCGATGCTCATGCTGTTGATCACTGGATTGTCTGGTCCAGACTCGATTTTTTACAGACCACGGCCATATAGCTGGAATACTGCTGAGTGCGGCGTAAAACTAAACTCTCTAGTACGTGGCATGTAGTACTTCTGGAATGAACGAGAACAGCGTTTGCTACAGTCAGGCAAGGTCCTTCCAATGTGAAATAATGCCACCCAAGGCAGAGTGATATTGTGTCATATTCTCTTCAGTAGTAATAGAGTCGGGGTTTTGCATCCTATGCGGCTTAGAGTCTTATTTGTGGGTATTAAGCCTCCCAGCCCCCCTTAAAAAATTATTGAGAACCATCCTTCGATGTGCAAGTTCAAATAAAAAAATAGCAAAAGCCCTCTTCGGCCACAACCCACGGAGGGGGAAATTGGTGTTTTGACCAGAGACCCGCCTGGTCCCTGATGTTTGTGGTGCGCTGGAATTTCTCCCGTGGGGTTGTGGTCGACTGCGCTCTCCCTGAGAGCTCCGTGTCTATTTTTTTTCGAACGGTAGGCTTCGTACCTCGGCAACAGAGTTGCACATCTGTGTACCTTGATCGTACACAGCAGTCGTTCGACTGAGCCACAGAGGACCTGGTAGCCGAGTGCTCAGTTTATCGGGTCTAACCTGAGATTGCATCATCCTCTTAAACCGGGCTCCGTCTATAGTAGCGCAAAGGATGTCACGTTTGGTGGCTTTTTCACCTCGAATCCATGTCTCATAAAATACAAACACGATGCCCGTAGGTAGTTTGAAGAACGCTGAATATGATACATTACTTGACGAACGCTGCAAAAAAATTGCAGAGGCCACAATCCATTATTTATCTTGAGCTGGGCTCCGTCTATACTAGCTACAGTAGCGCAGAACCAATCTCGCTCGCCTCGTGCACGTTTTGTGGCTTTTCACCTCGAATCAAGGTGTAATAAAATACAATCACGGTGCTCTTAGGTAGTCTAGACCCTGCTGATCACGATGCATGCGTCGATGGACGCTGAAAACATGTTTAGAAGCCACAATTGGCTAATTTAGAATCGGGTTACATAAGCTCGCAAAGCGTATGAGCTATATATAGCTTGAATGCACCTCCACTGTGAGGGTGTGACTGCCGAACATTTTTTAAATTTTTAAAAAAGAAGGGGGTAATACCGTGTCGTGAGGGACAATGTGTAATTCCTCTCTGACGAATCCCCTACCCGGTTTCTCTTGCAAGTAATACAGATTCGGTTCGTCGTCTTTGATGTCCACTCGGTCGATTCGGTATGTTTTCATGGACCATACGGGGTCTGTGGCCCGACGTTTATCCCCTCCTTCGAGTTCACCGGGCTGGTATAGATACCTTTTTCTCTTGGCCGTGACGCGATGGCGTGCCCTTTTTGATGGTCACGGATTTCATTCGAATGGCTTCAACAGGTCTTTATCAAGGAGTCTAGCGACTTCGTTGTTGATCGCAGACACCACTCGCGGTAAGCGTACAACCTATTCCGTCGATCGTTTTTCTGGGTTGTTCATCTCTCAGGCGTACGCTCGGCTAAAGTCCTGTTAAATCTTTCGACGATTGCTTGGCTTCGGTGAGCTCCGGCCACGCCTCGTCTCACCTGGACTTTATGCTTCAATAACAGCTGTGACACTGCTCCCATGAACTCATGTCCGGGATCGACTTGTAATTTGGTCGGCCAGGTCAAGCGACTGCATTTGTAGATACGTTCTAAGGCCTTACCGACTTGACTCGAATCTTTGATCATTAACGGCTCCGCTTCCTTGTAGCGACTGGCAACGTCCACGATGGTCAGGGCGTACTTGTACGTATTGTTTCTCACTCTGTCGTGCGGGAGAAACAGGAGGTCGGCTTGATGGGTACGGTTGGGTATGAAAATGTCAAACTTTCTTCTCGGGATGTATCGGGGAGCCGGCAGGTACACTTGCCAGATAATAATAATAATAAAAATAATAATGTCCAAGCTTTGGCGGTATCCTGGGAGACGCGAGTGGCTTTGGCCAGTAACCCCGAGGGCTGTAGTAAACCTTCTCCATGATGTATACACGCTATCGTTCATTCAATTGTCTCGACGCATCGAGTGGAGTTTCCTTTATTGGGGGTCTCGGAAACTCCCAACGCGTCGAAGGCAACTGTTGGTACTCATAGCTATAAGTGTGGATGCCATCGTTCGCAATCCATCGTTTGGTAACCATGGGCAACAGCGACGTTTTGTTGAGAGTGATGCTGAACGTGCGTTTATCGAAGAGAGCCTGTTTGAAGAGGGTGTGTTCGATGTGGTGTTTCACCACGTATTTCTTGATCCCTTTCGCCTTTCAGATTTCGTCGTGATCGGCTTTCAGGATGGAATACATCCTGGGTCTTAACCCGACGTATTTTGCGATGGGTGTCCCCGCGCATTCGCCCTTCATCTTACCAAGGACCTTTTTATTGGTCGTGCTGTGTAGGGTGTGGTCTTGGGGGTAATCGCTGGTGTCGTACAGGTGCATGTGTTTCGCCATGTCCTCGTACACGTCCTCGGTACGAATTTCCATGAGTAGTGAATCAGTGTCCGTGTACAGCACTTCACATCGATCGCCGTATTGATTTTTTAACTCATTGTAGTAGAAATCGTACATGAGATGTTTGGAGAGGTCGAGAATGCTCATCCCCACGTAGATGGGTCGGTTGAGCTTAATATGACTTTTGTTCATGTGCAGCGCTGCCAAGTCATTATCAAATAGCTTGCTCCGGTTGAAGGCCGGGTTGTCTATGAGTTTCCTGAGTTTTTCTTCCTCGTGAGATCGCACGAGTTTGACCGTCACTCGTTTTCTCAAGTTTTCCATGGTTTTGCCGAACACCGAGTTGTTCATCAATTCTAAGCTGGAGGTTGCACGCATTATTGGCGGCACCACGGTATCGACCGGTGATGTGGCAATGATCTCTCACGACATCCCCGTTCAGGGGTTGGTCACACACGTGGCAATGCTGAGCCTTTTCATGTGCGAATTTATCCTCCGGCGTCATATCCATGGGGGTAGGGCACGACAAAGCTTCCCTGATGTTTGTTTCTTCGTGTTGTAAGAATGTGAGAAACGTTTCGGCCATGTTGGGACCTCGGTAGATCACGGGAGTCTTCGTTTCACCACGTGAAACTGCGATTCGTGTTGGGCGACGACGTGTCGTGGTCGACCCGTTTGATGAGCGCTTCGAAGTCGGCGTAAATGACGTAAGGCACGGGCATTTGTTGTTTGCGATTGATGAATGTTAAGATGTTTTGATGTTCTCGAGGCATGTCGATTCGGACGTCCGACTCTCCCACACCTCGGCAACCCGCCCGGTGTGCTTCCAGCAGGTTGGCTCGTGTGAAGCCGTGCAGACATCGTTTGCAGGAGTGTTTCTTTTCTCTATGCGTCGATTGATCGTACGAAATTTTTAAAACAGTCGGAGACAGTCTTAAACTCAACGAGTCGGATGGCACGCACAAGTTGACGAATGGAGACCAACCCATCAAACTGGTCCGACCCTTGGCGAGAACACTCAGGTTGACGACTTATGAGACAGCACCTCGAGACACCGTCAGGGGCTCAAAATTGCCAAGCCTCGTCGCCTACCACGAACTGTGCATTCACCTCCATCAGCTGAGCAGGACGGACAACGTTCAAGGCGAACGACCTTCCACGCTGCTGAGAGCCTGCCGGAGAAAACGGAGAAGTACAACGATGGCAGAACCGAACCGTTTTCGACCTTGCAGTACAAGAAATTAACGCGAGGCAACATCAAGGAATTGAAACTATCAGTTTTAGATATAAAATATAAACCCGTTCATATAGGATACCTCAGCGCGACGCTGCACATCAAACAACGATGACAGAAGCTTCGGATCCGGGAATGTGACCGAGAAAATACGCCGACCTAGCGATCTCCGACCTCGGGGACACGCGCGGTTTCGACGAGCCCGGCATCGACAGCAGACTGTATGCCTTGCAACTCAAAAACAACATTTACAAACGAAGTGAGCGGCGGATCTGGTGGCGGTGGTTACCTAATAGACGGAACCCAGTTTAAGAGGATGATGCAATCTCAGGATAGACCCGTTAAACTGGTCACTCGGCTACCAGGTCCTCTGTGGCTCAGTCGAACGACTGCTGTGTACGATCAAGGTACAGAGATGTGCAACTCTGTTACCGAGGTTCGAAGCCTACCTTTAGAAAAAAAAAGACACAGAGCTCACAAGGAGAGCGCAGTCGACCACAACCCCACGGGAGAAATACCAGCGCACCACAAACATCATCAGACCAGGGACCAGGCGGGTCTCTGGTCAAAACACCAATTTCTCCCTCCATGGGTTGTGGCCGAAGAGGGCTTTTGCTATATTTTTATTTGAACTTGCACATCGAAGGATGATTCTCAATATTTTTTTAAGGGGGGCTGGGAGGCTTAATTCCCACAAATAAGCTTCTATGCCGCATCCTCTATGCAAAAACCCCGACTCTATTACTACTTCTTCTATATTCTTATGTTATTCCTTCTGTTTTGTAAGCACAATAACTAAGAATATAGCCTCAAAATTACAATCACGAACAAGACAAACAAACTTCATACTGATACAAGCTTAGTATAGCGGGTGATGAACTGTTGATATCCATCCAATATAAAAGTGCTTTATAAATGTGAATATTTTTCTCTATGTTTTGTTTTAAGGTGCTTTCCTCATCCCATTCTTCTTCTTCCTTTTTGTGACGGGAGTTCCGTTGTTTTACATGGAAGTCTGTTTGGGGCAGTTTTCAGCAACAAGTCCACTTTTCGTTTGGAAGCTGTGTCCTCTTTTCAAAGGTGGAATAGTTTTATACGACCTGTTTTTAATGCATAAACGAATCACCTAGTAATCAATTTTGGACCATATTGAATGAGATTCTATACTCATGCCAATAATGGCTGTCACCCCCCTCCCCACCCCAAGCCCGGACACACCTCACCCCCACCCCTCTCCAATTAAAAAATTGAAGGAGGTGACAACCATTATTGGCATGAATATATTTCGTGCATGTCTTCTGCTCATTTGCAAGGCTTGTTAATCACCGTTGCTTCTTTTACCCCAGGGGTCGGTGGGGTACCTAATGGCTAAAGAGTCCATTCATCACGTCGAAGACCCAGGTTCGATTCCCCATATGGGTACACTGCGTGAAGCCCATTTCATGGTGTCCCCCGCCGTGATATTGCTGGAATAATGCTAAAGATGGAGTGCAACTAAGCTCACACACACTCCTTTACCCCGGCGTACACATGTAGATTGTTCACATTTATGTGTGAAAACACTAATACAATCTTTTATGGTTATTAAATAGATAGAGGATACTAAACGACCTTCCGTGCATCACCAATTTTATGAAACGAGTTAATGATTTGGTATCAAACGAACGATAGCGAGTTTGATACTAAGTCTTGCACGAGTTTAATACAAATGGTATTTCACGGAAACGAGTTTAGTATTCTGTTTATTACTCTACAAACATAAATTGATGGAAACTGCCTACAGTGTGATGACTCTCATATCAATTTTCCGCGAGTCATCAAGGTCTGATACCATTGCGACAAAGGCATTAGCATTGTGACGTCATAACTGTAACCAATATGACGTCATACCTCTAGCGTTATTACACTAGTGTAATATTGTCGTAAAAATATTTCACTGCAGTATCTTCCACGGGCGAGTATTAATATATTATTTGTTCTTTCAGGTATAGGATGGGGAGCGTGCATAGTGTCAGGATTAACATCCATCTACTATGTCGCAGTGATAGCATGGAATATGTTTTACCTCATCAATGCCTTTTATCCATCACTGCCCTGGACTGCTTGTGACAACTGGTGGAACACGGACTCTTGCATTGGTGCTGTACATCGTGATGCCAGTTCCCAGAACTCCAGTATTGCTGTGGCTTCGCTCAACAGTACAGCATTTTCTCTGCCAGAGGGTACCAATATAAACAACACAAACTCCTGGAACAATTTTATAGCAAATGCATCTGAAGAGGCCAAAACAGCCACGGAGGAATTCTGGCAGTGAGTAAATTGTATTTCAAATTGATCGCGATAAAAAAATTCACTTCTCATTAACTTCGACATTTAACCTGAGTAGTAAAACCTGTATCTGTGACATATTGTCTAAATATCAATTTTACGCCAAAAGCATGTATAATCGGGAGCATGATTTACCAGAGTGAGTACGTGAGGTTTTAGGCCACTTTCAGGATTGTTCCAGCAATATCACGGCGGGAGACACCAGAAATGGGCTTTACACATTGTACCAGTGTTCGGATAAGAACACGTGTTTACCTCGCGACAAGTAGACGCTTTAACCACTAGGCTACCCTACCTCCCCTGACTCACCAGCATTGGAAAGAGAACGTCTAATGTATTGTTGATGGAGCGTGTCAATGTAACAGCATTCAAGGCCTCAATAAAGGTTTCAAATGTTTTATGGAAGACATGTGGAGGGCATTTCGAAATTTGATGCATCAGTGACAAAAATGATATCCGATAGTCTCTCTTTAGACTTGTACCATACGTTTCCGAATTATTTCAGGTGAACAAATGACCAACTGTTTATAACGTGTGCAACCGGTGGGACAGGACAATCGCGATTTTGAGAACACCTGTTCTATCATTACAATTTCATAGTGATTCTTAAGTAGTAAGCACATGCTCTGTCATTGTATAGCATGGTGACAATCGTTGGATTGTCTGGTCCAGACTCGATTTGTTTACAAACAGCATGGTGCAGCTCCAATACTGCTGAAACAAATTTAAACTCATGATCGACTTTAGGCAGAGATTTCTTATGGATGTGGAAAGGGTTTTGTCACTTCTGTTTAAGGTACTATGTATTACGCAAGTCTGATGGTGTGGAAGACATGGGAAGCTTCCAGCCTCACATGGTGGGATGTCTGTTTGTTTCCTGGCTGTTAGTCTTTCTGTGTCTCATTAAAGGTGTCAAATCGCTTGGCAAGGTACGTCTATCCTTTCAGAATTATTTTTAACAAACGTGTTTTCAAGCGGGCTCCTCGTGGTAACCAGGCCCTCCATTGTAGGAATATGTGTTACAAGTATGTGTTTGCGGTTTACTTGTAATACTGCATAGTCATGTATGTTTTGGCATCTTAAAACCTGAGAAAAGAACAGCTTTGTAAAGAGTTTTCTATCCGTGAAGATCCAGGTTAGAATTGATCTACAGCAACTCATGCACATATTTGTCCCAGTGTACTGACGACGAGAAAACTGTGCATACACAATCTACGAGAAAGAAAATGTACTTTTTCTTAATGATAACCAAAGCATCACGAGCAACAGGAGTGCACAACCTTCCAAATCGTGCACCAAATGCTAGTTCAACTATCACCCGTGAAGGTCCGGGATAGAATCTTCAGTAACCCATGCTTGTCGTAAGAGGCGACTAACGGGATCGAGTGGTCAGGCTCGCTGACTTGGGTGACACAAGTCATCGTAACCCAAATAGACCGATGCTCATGCCGTTGATCACTGTATTGTCTGTCCAGACTCGATTATTTACATACCACTGAAAATGTAACTGGAGTATTGCTAGGTGCGGCGTATAACTAAACTCATTCACTCACTGTAAAGAGTTTTCAAATCTGTAGATGTCCTCGACAATCTGATACCTTTCAACAATGATCCAAAGGTTAATTTCCTTCTGCTGACTTACCCATCACTTTTATCTCCATTATGTCACTCTACGTCAAAAAGATTTCCAAGCAGCTTCAGGTTTTGTGATCCATAAACATATGCTTATTAATTAATTTAATTTAAATATTTCTGTCTTATTGAATCGTAAAGTGATTCATCAAGCCGCTTTTCCGTATGGTTAAGATTAGAATTTTTGGCTTTTATTTGCACCTGAATGAAGTTAGTGTGTAGTACATGTAGTAGGTGATACAAGTGACACTCATATAATTCGACACATAAATCTCCAGAACCGTAAAAATGCTCATTCCTTGTTCGTCTGGATTCCATAACTCTAAAAATATATATACAATCAAGGGAGAGCTTTCTTTATATTTTGCCGAATTCACAGAAGAAATGTTATGTGGATTCTTAAAACCTCAGAAAAGAACCAACTTCAGCTTGGTCAAGCGTTTTTCACATTTGTAGAGGATTTCCAACATCTCGACAATCTGTTACCTTTCAACAATGATCCAAAGGCTAATTTCTGACTCACTGACCAAAACGGGAAATATCTCCTATTGTCAGATTTCCCACTTTGTCAAGAAAATCCCCAGCAGTTTCAGCTACTGGGTTTGTGATTTATAAACATGTGCTTATGGTCGTTTAGTGACTCTGGTTTCAGACGATGTTTCTTATGGTTAAGATAAGGATCTTTGGCTATTAGTTTCATCTAAGTGAAGACAGTGTGTAGTACATATTGCGGTACATGGTTGAATGTGGTGTGTGGTAAACCATGGGATATATGACTGAAGATTATGTATGGTACATAACTTGATATTTGATTGATAATGTTACACTATGTGATGCATGATTGAAGCTGGTGCATGATACACTGTGCGATAAAGGATTTAATATAATGTATGGTACACTATGTAATTAATGTAATTATGCATGGCTGAAAGTGGTGTACACCACACTTTATATAGCACGTGTGGTATATGACTGTAGGTGGTGTATGTGACGGCGCTCTTCCCCTACCTACTCCTGACTATCCTGCTGATCAGAGGGGTGCTGCTCCCCGGGGCTGTGGATGGAATCAAGTTCTTTGTCTACCCAGATTTCTCCAGGCTAGCAACCTTCAGTGTGAGTGTTATGATTCCGTAGTGTGAATGCTTATTTGTAAATATTTCAATAATAATTTATGTCTTGCACTTTTCCAACATTCGTGAAACAATGAACATGGTTCAACCTCACACTTGGTCGTAGAAAGCAATGACTTGGCCATCTCCACCTAGGATCATGGACGCCAGGGTCTCTATCCACAAAGAATGTGTAACGTTATGACCAGTCGTAACTCAATAGCTTATCATAGGCTTACAAATGCCATAGCTGTACGATCAGATCTCTTTTCGGTTTTAATGGCATTGTGTAATTTGTATGACATATGTGGTATTTGAGCTGACATGATCTGACAGCATGAATGCTCGTGTTTCTTCAAATTTGTACTGGCTGTATATGCGCAGCGATGTGTTAAACAGCGTACTCAGACACAGCGACATTAAATACAAAATTCCTAATCACAATGATATAATGCATTATAAACAGGTGTGGATCGAAGCAGCTATACAGGTGTTTTTTTCCCTTGGACCAGCATGGGGCTCGATAATAACTATGTCCAGCTTCAATGACTTCAACAACAACTGCTTCAGGTAGGTGTGGCGTGTCGGGCAGTTATACATACCTGTACATGAGTAAAGGCACTGCGTATCTTCATTTCTCTACGCAATAATTTCACAGCCACAGATTGTTATTAACGGAGCATCATTTGATCGGAAATATAAGAATATATTTATTTTCTCTGGACATTGAGCAGTGGTGATTCCGGTTTGGTACAGGTCTCAGAATCTAACCTTTTGGTCGAAAGAGGTGATCGGGCAGTCAGGCTCGGTGAGTTTGTTGATGGTGTGTCCAGACTACCTGGATCGTGACTTCCGAATTCGATGAAATATATTTGATTTTAATGAGATCGACGCTATATCATTGGACTTTCAATGCTTGCTTTTTCAAACCACAATACAGCATATAAGAAACACAGGATACGTACATGACACCCTAGGTAATAATATCAATAAGAACGGTGTCCGAAGTTCAGTGGCCTTCAGGGGCGGATGTGTGTGCTTTTCCCCCTAACCTTTGGACTTCATAATATATGTGCACCCCCCTTATCCAAAATCCTGGATCCGCCCCTGGCCTTTGATGTTGTTAAACGTTTATAATGGACGTTTAAATGACTACAGAGTCTGCTAGAATACTTTAATTAAGTTGAATGTTGTGTGTACACATGTTCTTCCACCAAGGGACAAAAATACATCACATCAATTTCCTTTCCATGAACATATATACAGTTGTGTAAATATGCTATAATTATTTATAGCACTGAAATAAATAATATTATGTGTGTGATTATTTCTGTTCTTGTGAACATGAAGATGTTAAACAGATCCCAATATAAATCTTCGTAGGGACTGCATCATAGTGAGCCTTGCTGATGGTCTGACCAGCTTCTACAGTGGCTTCGTCATCTTCTCCGTGGTTGGATTCATGGCCAAAGAAACGAACACTAGCGTCACTGAACTAGCTACACAAGGTAGGTCATCATATTACAACACAAACTTGCAAACATAAAAGAGACGAATAATCACCGTAGAAACATCAGGTATACCTCGTAGAATTAGAACCAGCATTTCAGAGATGAATACGTCCACTGAGGCAGCTGTCGTACAGTTTGGTCAGTGTGCGAAATTTACGATGGTGCTGTGGTCCCTGGATTCACCAGGATCACTAAAGGCAGTGGTCCTGGTGGCCAATAAATTTGGTATTGATAGTTAAGTAAATCTATGAATGCTATTTTGTACCAGTGAAGTACAGACAGGACCACTGATTATTGTCCACTCACTGGTCCTGTGGTCTAGTGGGAAATTTTGAAAGGTTTCTTTACCTGCATTGGTGTTGAGTTATGGATCTGTGTCAATGTTTCAGGCCCTGGTCTAGCAATGGTAGCCTACCCTGAAGCGATCAGCAAGTTGCCTCTTCCCCAGCTGTGGGCTGTGCTGTTCTTCCTCATGTTGATCATGCTTGGCCTGGACACCCAGGTGCGGTCCGACACTAACGCTTGTATCAAATCCACCAGGCATTCAGGTTGACACAATTATAAGGATACACGTATTGTAAAATAGACAAACAGACAACCTGTCCTGCTTGTCTTGTGGTCATTCGGGTTACAACTAGTCTTCAGTAACCCTGCTTGTGTATTTATGTTGTTTGGCGCAGCATTCAGCAATGTTTTAGCGTTCTGTAAATAATCATGAGCGGACCAGATAAGCATGTAATACCGGGCGGTCTGGTGGCCTAGTAGTTAAAGCGTTCGCTCGTCACGCCGAAGACTCGGGTTCGATGCCCCACACAGGTACAATGTGTGAAGCTCATTTCTGGCGACCCTCGCCAAGATTGCGACCGATGTAAATCTTTCCTCCTTGCTCTCGGAAACCAACAACGTTTAAGATGGCTATGCGGTTGGTGAAAGCCTATATTTTGGCGAGACAGCTTCTGATATGACAGGCAATGTTATTGATTGCTCTGGACTGATTTATCAACCCCCTGTGGACAGCAACTCAACCCCTAAGGGATTTCAACAGTCTCACACAGCCCCCAGTAATGGCGACGAGAACACAACTTCAACGCAAACAGGTACGACTTGTGAAATTTTACTCGACTATATCAGGTCTAACACCAGCAGTCACGCCAGGGATGCATTTGTCAATAACCTAATATCGAAAGTGCAAGGTGATGCGAACATCTTGGATGAACTTAGACTTTTGCTTTTGAATATGTGCAAGAAATGTGAATCATTCCCCTTTCAAGATAGTGCGCTTAAACGAAGAAAGGATCGTAGCGCCAAACAGGGTGAAAAACTGGAGAAATTAACTAAAGACTGCTTCATTCTCTTCAGATTCTATTGTGGTGATAACTCTGATTATATTTATGATGTTTTGAATATTCAACCTAGGAAGGCAACAAAACAACCAAGTGGGGGTGACACAAACACTCAGGGTACAATAGCGCCAATCAGTGAGACAATAGCACGGCTTGAACGTGATTTGTATACACTCAAGAGTGAATATACACAGAACATTGACTGCTTACACAACAAGGTGAAACATCTCGAGGACTCTAACAATAGGCTTACATCAGAACTTGTGGCCGCACGAGAAGAATCTGCAAAATGTAGAGGTTGTGTTGATAAATTACGAGAAAGGATGCTTAAGGCCATGGAACAGTTACACAATGACAGCAAGTGCGCTGTGGTTGAAGTGAATAACTGTAAAGAGTCCACAGAGAACCTCAAATGTACAGTGATTGAATATAAACGGGACATCAAGCTAATCTCTGAAACTGAGCTCCCAAAATGTGATGCGGCAGTGAAGACAAAGAGTAAGTTTGAATCTCGCCACTCAGATCTTCGGAACATGGTTAAAGACTTGAAGTCCAAAGTTGATGATGACTGTCTGAATATCTCTCATATCTCCGATGAGCGTCTTCTGGGCATTGGTTCTATTAAGTCAAAGCTTACGTTGATTAATCAGCGACTAACTTCTATTGAAGATGACGTCAAGTCCGTGGATGACCAATGCAAATCATGTTCGTCGTCTCTAGGAGACCTACAGAAGAAGGTGACCATGTTGAAAAAAGGGATTCAAAGAAGAACAAATATAACTCCTACGCCGAGGCAGCAAACCAGAGCAAGCCTGACAATGATTCCAATACCAGTCAACAACCAAGCACATATCCAAAAGAGGTTCAAAGAGCATCTGGTAGCATTGGACATTCTGTACAGGAGATTCACACACAAAACGAATCCGCCTGTAAGCACGTCACTCCAGCTTCTTAAAGCAACAAGCCATCGAAGGAAGGAACTTCTGAAGGTACCATCCAAGGTTCAAGTACCATGTCAGCTACCCCAACTGAGAAAATTACATCCCCTGACGATAATAATGACTCAAACAATAGGATTCAAGTCCACATCAGTAACAGACATAAACCATTGTCCAACTTGATGCTGATGAGTTTTTTGCAGGTCCTATACGCCCGCGAAACAGACGCTACTACATTGGCAGAATCCAGAAGTCCTGCTCAGAACAATCGATCAAAACTTATATGGTGGAAAGGGGAGTAACTGTGACGCACCTTAAAATCTTCATCAAACCCGAGAAACGCTATGCTGCTGTACTCGCTCAAGATAGGCTACTTGTTGAAAACGTTGATTTCTGGCCAGAAAACATTATTGTCAAGCCGTGGCTGCGCAGGAAAAAGTTTGGGCAACAAATAGAGGAAAGACAGAGAATGAACGATGCTCCCCAGGCTAACCCTTCTTAGATATGTCTCTCCCAATCATTTCACTTATGTCATGGAATTGTCGTGGCGTAATGTCAAGTGTATGTTACCTCAACGCTACTCTCTCTCAAAACCATATCCAGATATGTGCCTTGTCTGATCACCAGCTTGGTGCCCACAATCTGTCATTCTTGGATTCCCTGAATGAAAATTACTTCTCAGTCGCCAACCCAGCTCAAGAACCCCGGAACCAGAGGTCTCAGAGGAGTGGGGGAACAGCCTTCCTATGTCACAAACATCTTAAGCCGTATGTCCAGGCTCTAGATATTGTCAATAATAGAATCACTGCCCTACAACTCTCTGTTCCAAATCATCACCCTCTCTATCTCCTTTCAATCTACCTACCCCCTTCGAATCGATCCATAGATCTCTATCAAAATATGCCTTGATGAACTCCAAGAATCATATTCTGCCTTGTCTGAAAGGAGCCCGGTAATCATCCTAGGCGACTTTAATGCAAAGATTGGAGGCCCAAGAACAAACGTTAACCTTGACCAAAGATCTAGCATGCTCTGGCAGTTCCTGTCAGCAAATTCACTAATCTCTATCAACATGCAGAGCTTCTGCACGGGCCCAGTGAATACCTTCTATGCATATGCAGGAGGTCCTCAGACACCAATCGACCACATTGTAGTGCCAACGGAGCTCATGTATCTCATTCACTCGGCAGAAGTGAAAGATGATAATCCATTGAACGTTTCCGACCATCACCCAGTTGTATGACTTCTTGCAATCGACCTACCTAGTCAACCAGCTGCAGCTCCTCCTATACGTAGACCAGCTTGGAACAGAGCCTTCAATAACGGCTCTATCAAAGGACTACACATATGCAGTCTCTAACTCCCTCTGGGGAAAGCAGCTGCCAGCTCTAGACTGTGACAGGGAGGATATTGAAATCTTACTGATATAACTACTATGGCCCTCACTATGGCTGCGGCTGGCTGTCTTCCTATGAGACATTTCAGACGTTATCTAAGACCATACTGGAAGGACTTCCACGACCTGATGTTCTCTTACAGACAGCAATGGATTCTAGATGGTAAACCTAGAGGCATGACTCACACTAGCTTCCGTGACTACAAGAAATCCAAAGACAAATTTCGAGCTGCTATGAAAGAAGCTGCAGCGCTTTATGAAACAGAGCACTTCAACAATCTTGATAAACTATATGACATCGACCAGAAAACATTCTGGGCTCTCCTCAACAACAGAGACAAGAAATCACACATTTCAACCATAAGTGTATCAGGGAACCATACCACAGATTCCCTGGAAATCTGCCAAGCTCTCGCTGACCACATGAAGACTATATTCAGCAAAGGGGTGGATGACCACTTTGACCAGAACTTTAAAGACTATCTAGAAGGCAGAGATGCTGAACTAAAACATTGTACCTCTAACAAGTTAATCGACGTCAAGAGCCTTCTGACCGCTCAGTCTGAGGAAAGCAATCTTTGCAAATCTCTGAAAAACAACAAGGCCTGTGGTTTTGATGGAATCTACTATGAACACTTGAAACATGGAGGCTCAACTCTTCATTATTATCTTTCTGAACTATTCAATAGAATAATCACCACAGGTTCTATCCCATCCCAGTGGAAGAAAGGTATCATCATCCCAATCTTCAAAGGCGGAGGCAAACCAAGGACGTCCCCAGATACATACAGAGCAGTGACTTTGTTGCTTGTTATTTCAAAACTCTTCGAACAGGTCATAGCGAAACGAATCCCACAATTTCAAGACTCCACGGACTTCCCTGATCCTCAGCAATGCGGCTTCCAGAAAGGCCTGTCGTCTCTTCATGCATCATTCCTCCTTCAGGAGACAGTCTACCACTACAAGGAACGGAATGACTCTCTGAAAGTGGTGTTCTTGGACAGTAGTAAAGCCTTCGACACTGTGTGGCATGATGGACTACTCTGGAAGCTGAAGGAGTTGAACATTCATCCAGGTGTGTGGCGCATTTTCTGCAACACATACTCTGGAATGGAAAGTTGTGTTCTCGCCAATAATACCTACTCATCCTGGTTTAAACTCGACCGTGGAGTGAGACAGGGTAGCGTCCTTTCTGCCAAGCTCTACTTGGTTTACATCAACGAGCTTCTGACAGACCTATCACATCTTAAGAAGGGAGCATTCGTATTGGATCTCCACCTCGCCGCTCCAACTCAGGCAGATGATATCTCACTGATCAGCCCTATCACAGCCCATCTACAATCCATGGTTACAGAGTGTCAAGCTACAGTGCCAACTGGCAGTTCACATTCTCTCCCTCAAAAAGCAACGTCTTGGTCTTAAATCCAGAAAGAAACACCAAGTGCAATACCAAACTTTACGGAAAGATTTTACCTGAAGTGGACAACACAAAGCATCTTGGCATTCGTCTCGACTCACACCTCAGCAGCCACATTCGCACATCAAATGCATGTTCGAAGATGAAGTCAGCTGCAATGATGTTGATGAAATCTGGCTTACACAACAGTGGGCTGAATCCAATTACCAGCTCCAATCTTGTCAAGTCAAGCCTTGTTTGGGTGCGAATTGTGGTCAGGGTTGAAAAAGGGCGATATTATCACTGTCGAAAGGGCACAACGATTCTGTTTAAAGAAGTGTCAGGGGCTCCCAAAACCTACTAGATCTGACATATGTAACTCCCTGATTTGATGGTACTCGGCAGAATCACATCTCGACACAAGGAAGTTGTTTTTCCTTGGCTCCTTGTGCAACAGCAAGAAGCACCTACTTTGCTTCAAACTCTTTATCTCACGCCTGTTTGCGTTTAGAAACTGCATATTGAAGACAAGAACAGGATTTATACCAGATATAGTTCATGTACTTGAAAAATACAAACTGAGGCACTTTCTTGAGAATTTCGTCTCCTCCGGCATCTTCATGGGTCAACTCTCCTGGAAGAAGATCGTAAAATACTCTGTCATGGAATACGAGAAGTCCTCCTGGAACCAACGAATGGCATCAGATCCGGATCTCAGACACTTCAGGACATTACACCCCTCGATAGAGCCACACCCAGCTTGGCTACTTGCCAAAAGATACCCCTTCTTGAAACAACAATGCATCTTCATAGTGCAAATGTGTGCTCTCTGGTGTCCTTACCGTGTGTATGGACCTTGTGATAAATGTAGTGTGAACTGTGCAGACCTTCTGATCTATGTCCTAACATCGTGTGAAGCTTGTGCTGGCTGCAGAGACCAACTCTGGTGTGACATTATCAACGTGGGCCCAGTTTAGTTGAGCCAGGAACTACACAGCAAGACTGATATGGACCTGGTGTGCAGCCTGCTGTCCTGCCGTCCCCCAGTACTGCTCTCTGACGCGGAATCTGAGCTGTACACACTGACCTTTGTTAACGGACTCTACGCGACCTGTAATGCATGAATATTCTGCGCGTCTCTATTGTTATCTTAAACCTATCTAAACTTTTCTCGCATTCCCTTGTACTCTCCATTGGAGGAATAAAAGTATATATTCTAATACCGGGCGGTCTGGTGGCCTAGTAGTTAAAGCGTTCGCTCGTCACGCCGAAGACTCGGGTTCGATGCCCCACACCGGTACAATGTGTGAAACTCATTTCTGGTGACCCTCGCCGCTGCTGGAATATTGCTAAAAGTGGCGTAAAACGATCCACTCTTTTTTTTGAAGGCCTCATTCAAATCAGGTTCAACAAACACACGGGGCTTCAACATCCCACATAGACGTATTATACCTCACGTTCACTAGATCAAATATTGAAGTGTGTAGGGAGATTCGGACCAGATGTTGTGTTTGTTTGTTTGTTGTTTAACGCCGCACTCAGCAATACTCCGGCTGTAAAGCGGCGGGTTGTAAATAATCGAGTCAGGACCAGAACACCCAGTGAATGAATCATGAGCGTTGATCTATGCATTTGGGAAAAGATGATCATGTGTCAACGAAGTCAGCATGCATGACCACCCGATCCCGGTTGTCGCCTCATACGGGCTGCTGAAGACTAATAGCGACCATAGCGACCCTCACCACTGCCTTTGAAAAACCATACTTCCATCAACCAGTTCCTAATGACATTTCCGGATTTAAAAGGATTAATAACGCCCACCAGTTTTAAAACATGCAACATTTCCTGCTGGCACCACCATTACAGATGCTCTTTGCGTATATTCAGGAGACTATTTTTTGTAACAGAATGTACAAGAAAGATTGTGTTTGTGTTTGCAGTTTGGAATGGTTGAGAACCTTGTAGCTGGCATTACTGACGGCATCCCTCGTCTACGCAAATACAGGATTTTCGTCACTGCAGGCGTGTCCATGGTGTTCTTCCTGTTTGGCCTTCCGATCACAATGAATGTAAGTTTTCTGAAGCAATCACCTGAAGGGCTTAATTGACAATATGAAAACCTTTCAAAGAGAGACAATGCTTGTTCCAGATACATGATATTTACGATCCCAAAATACACGTAACCATCTCTATTTCACGTATTAACGGTAAACATTAAACAGGTGAAAAAAATACTTTTCAAAATGGGAAATTATACAAACGTATCAAGCTGCATTTAGCGGAGATACGCACATGACTATGCGCATGACTAGCGATTTTGAGTTAACGAGGACGTTTTAGAGGCAAAATATGGAAATAATACAACTAGGTATATCAATGAGTCATTTCTGTCTCATAATATACCATAAGTTTCACAGTATGACTGACTTGAGGGAAATTATCGCAAGACAGTCACTGAATAAACACTTCCAGAAAAAGATGGAATAGCGTGTCCGATGGTGCATTATTGTATTTCTGGCAATAGGTTGTCAAACTTTGACACGGAGGGTATATAAATCTGAACTTGAATCTCATCCATGAGTACATCCTTTTTCTATCGTATGCTTCGCCAAAATGTTACCCTTTAATTGCAGGGAGGGATCTACATATTCCAGCTGATGGACTGGTTCACCTCAGCATTCTGTTTGTTTATCTGCTCATTCCTGGAATGTATTGTAATTGGCTGGATTTACGGTAAAACATTTTATCATAAACACAACACAAATCGTATAGGCTTTTGCACGGTGTGTACATTACAGTCCCATAAATTTACAATAATGGTGGCTTTGCTCATAGACATGTGTTTTTTTAAAATACATCATACATGACACTTACTCAAAAGAATGTTATGACCACGAAAATGTTGTGGTTTCAATTTCAATTTCTTTTACTTGGGGTTCTGAAGAGGCCACAGGCCTATAGTACAAAACAAGTGTGTACTGTCACATCATATTTAAAACAGCTTTTCTATTGTTGAATCCATGATAGATGTACGTTGATAAATTCTTAACAATTTGTAGATTTGTTGCTTTAAAAATAACTTTGATTCATATTCATATAAAATGGAGGGATATATAACAATGTGGCTGTTAAAAATATACACATAAGCATTAACAAAGCACCACCTGAATCCAAAGGAAATATTTTAAACATACCGGAATGTAATGTAAAACAAGCGCGGTAGTTTCAAAGCTATGGGTAGCATGTTCAAGTGCCGAGAATTTTCTTGACATGGCAAGACGTAGATATTAAGATAGCAAGTTTTGCCATGTATGCTTCATCTATGCAAAATTGACTTTACGACACGGGTAGTCGACTTGTGAACAAACCGTTGAAGCAATGGATCGTCCAAGACCTGGAAGACCTGGAATACCAGTGACTGAAATGAGTACTAATGGCCGAGTCCTAATTCGTCTGGCATCCCATGACCCATTTTGGAAGACTGAACCTACCACTGAACATGTTTCATCACTTACGTCGATTATTGAAACACGCCAATCTATGAAAAAGTCTACCTTTACAGCTTTCATCATGCTACGCAAGGCATAGGACCGTATTGATCGTCCGATTATGGGCTCAAAGTTACTGGAAGCGAACATAAAAAGTGTATTGTTTAATGGTATTACATCCCTTTACAGAACTGTCGAGCGCTGTGTGAAATTGAACGGTGGGCATATTTCATCATGGTTTGATGTGCAATGCGGATTAAGACAAAGATGTTTAGTTTCACCATTACCTTTTAATATTTACATAAACGATGATTAATGATTTATCTATCGGCGTTGTCAAAAACGACAAGACTGTTGGAGTGCTCGCCTACGCTGACGACTTGGTTCTACTTGCTGAATCTGAAAGTGACTTTAAATTATTGCTAGATTGCTTCAACAGCTGGTGTGGAACTAACTCGATGACTGCCAACAAAGGAAAATCTAATATCATCTGCTTCAGACCGGTATCGACACCTCGGACACGTGTTACTTTTACCTGTGGAGATGATGTTTTAGAGATAACTGATTTTTATAACTATACCTTGGAATTCTTTTAACAGAGCACAGTCGAATGGCGAAAGCAGCGGCCAGCTCAGCTTGCAGAGCTCTAGGATTGCTCATTTCCAAGTATAAATTGTTAGGTCGAATGGGGTTCGACACTTTCACAAAGTTATACGACTCTATGGTGTGGTCAATCATCGCATACAGCACCAGTATATGGGGAAACTTCAATATGACCTACATAGAGACAATACAGAACAGGACTGTACGGTTATACCATGATCTACGCCGTTTTGCCTCTAACAGTGGGATGTGAGACGCGCCTGACAGACTATCCCATCACACATTCATATGGACTCACCAGTGGGCTGCCAGACGTAATTCACACCGAGTGTATAGGATCATACATAAGTTCAACCAACTCAGAATGGGACACTATATAGCTCTAAAACACATCGTTTCAGGCTTGATAGAGGAAGCTGTTTTTAATGAGTTTTAATCAAAATGGGAAAGAGAGATAACTGAACCTACACGTGCACAAGGAAACAGGGGGACCAAACTACTCACCTACTGTACTTTCAAGAGAGAGTATCGGACCGAACCTCATGTTAGACGTGTCATCAACAGATCTCAGAGAAGCGCCCTGTCAAGGTTTAGGTGCAGAGTAGCCTCCCCACTGAGGACTGAAACTGGAAGGTACACTAACACGCCGGGAGAAGAGGGGGATTATCCTCTATGTCGACACGCTTTTTAAGACGAGATGTATGTAATCCTACACTGCCCACTGCAAGAAGATATCACATATGGCAAATGTATGCCCATTGTGTTTTAGCGTGCCCTGACTTCTCCGATTTTAGTGATGTACAGAAATTGGGGTATATTCTCGCCTCACCTAAAATGATTTTATTCAGTGCCAAGACCTGCAAAGCAATTTTAACTACACGTAATATAAAGATTTCTTATATCCAAGCTAATTATTTCATCGTTTGGAAACATCTTTTGCGTGCTTACGTTTACTCTTTATGGTATATTTCCCTATTATATTATTATTAAATGTGTGTTTTGTAATCCTTTTATCCAATTCATGTTTGACAAATACTTTTACAACATGTATTTAATTATCGTACGCACTTTGTGATAAGCAATATATTGTATATTTTATGTAAATATCTTATGTCATGTCGATTTACATCGTCTCTCATAACCCATGTTTGGGTCTCGCTGTACTTTAATGTCTAAATTCTATGTATGTACTTTTGCATTAAGAGGTGAGACGTGAATATACAATCTGTCTGTCTGCTAAAACGCAATGGAGGCAATGGAGAGTGGGAGTCTGACTCTCCACCAGTACCATCAGAAGGAAGCAGCAGGCTGCTGGTCGGAGAGACATCCCTACCTCACGGAACGCCAGGCGTAGTGCAGACATGGCGACGGGTTCATTGGTCACATGATAGTCGCTGTCTTCTACACCTTGCTGCCGGCCGTTGGAGACGGCGTAATACATTTGAATCCTTTGGTGGTGGCTCAGCGATGGGTTGGGGTTGCTTTTCCAATGACTGCAAGCTGGATCTCATTAAGTACCTGGGACATGCAATGAGTGAGATAAACTTTATAGTCACATCAGCGTTATTTCAGCCATATCGTGACTTAAAATAGTTATAAATTCATGATAAGTGCACAAATTGTAAACACCTGTCGACGAAGGACAGTAAAACCAACCAGTATATCACAGTATCAATAAATAAAACTAGCATATATCTCTAAAATAAGATTTCAGATAGGACAATACAATATAAAAACAGGCTGAGGATCGCCAACAATGAAGGTACATCACCACTCTAGGGACCATTGGGACTTTGGCTACCTGCATGGGCCCTAGCTGGATTTATACAATCCCTTCGTCCACTTGCGATTGTACTGATATTTAGCCATAATAAAACAACAAATATTCTACGATTAAAAGAGTGTGTAGAGCTAAACTGACTTTGAAAGTTTTGGGACTTACGTACCCCCTCAAGAGGCCAATCATTTTACAGTACTTACACAATCTTAGTTGCCAATTTATTCTACTAATTATAAAATATCATTGATCTATTAACAAAACATATAAATCAAAATGTATTAATCAACTCTACTGCTTTTAAAAACTCAATGATTAAATGATAATGAACTTTTGGGGCATTCAATGGTCATCGTTGTCAACAGGAAGTACCACGTGTTATTACCATCTTATAATCATGGATGACAACGCTAGACCTTGCCATGCTTGGAATTCGACGCTTGGTTGCTTGTAGGAGGAGGCGACTGACTGGTCGCCAGTGGTGGTTCAAACAATCATCATTTGAGAACTGTGTGACAATCAGATTGGTGGTGTCGTCATTGTGACGATACCATCCGACATTGCTGATATTTTCTGTATTCCTCTCAGATTACAAGTAAATTGCTACCAAATGTCAGTTTCAGTTTTGTTTGTGTCTCAATTACAGTGAAATATATTACCCTTACCACATACTCTCAGAATTCTTTACAACTGTGCTACAATATGAATCGTTTTCATACTTACATCGAACTCACTTGGTGTGCTTCGCTAATGCTTATGTGTATAGATCTTTCTATCAACATTTACCAAATGCCTTTGATGATCTCGTATCAAGATTTTGTGTGCTGTTTCACGCCAGCTATATGAGTCATGGTTAACTTCACAGGGATGCAAATTACAGGACTCACAACAAATCCTACTCAGTCAAACAAATATGCATATAAAGATTTGAACTCGTCCATAGCTAATTACCGTTGTGCCTTTTCTTGTACCGTCCTGATGTGTTACAGTTGGTCGTAACTCAAGATTAGGGCGGTGGGCTAGCCTAGTGGTTAAAGCGTTCGCTCGTCACGCCGCAGACCCGAGTTCGATTCCCCACATGGGTACAATGCGTGAAGCCCATTTCTGGTGTAATCTGCCCCGATATTGCTGAAATATTGCTAAAAGCTGCGTAAAATGGGCAAGGTGTAAATGGGCCCTGTTGCCCAAACACCCATTACACTTTTAATTGTCTATCTATCACACTCACTCACTGCCAAGATCATGTTAAGTGTCCCCAATGTTTTAACCGTCTTGCTGCAGTGCCAGTAGTACAGCTTATAATTGTTATTAATAAAAACAGATTGTGTTTCATTCCACATGATATGTTTGACTGGCATTTAGAAGTTAATTTGTAATAAGAAAGGTCGGGTATTCTATGGATAACAACTTCTTAATTATATTATGATGCGACGTTTCAGTATATTTCTATATCGTTCTCAAGCAAGAATGCACTCTTGAGAGTTTCTTGTTGTTTCATTTGATTCATACGTACATTACATGTATTGGAACATTAGAGTGTAGCATTTACCTAATAACTGTTGCCAGGTGTGGACAGGTTTGGCCGTGACATAGAACTGATGTTAGGAAGACGTCCTGGGATTTTAATGAAGTTCTGCTGGTGCATATCAACCCCACTGATCATGTTGGTAAGGAATGAAACAAAGTCTCAGATTGCCTAATTATCTTCAGATATATCATGATTAGAGATGCTTGGATGTTACAGGCTGTGTTAGTAGTGATTTGGTTTGTTGTTTAACGCCGCACTCAGCAATATTACAGCTATGTGCCGGCGGTCTGTAAATAATGGAGTCTGGACCAGACAATCCAGTGACCAAAATCATGAGCATCGTTCTACGCAATTCGGGATACGATGACATGTGTCAACCAAATCAGCGAGCCTGACCTCCCGATCCCTTCAGTCGCCTCTTCCGACAAGCACATGTTGCTGAAGATCAGTTCTAACCCGGATCTTCACGGGTGCCTTTTACGACAAGCATGGGTTGCTGAAGGCCAATCAGGAGGGCAGGAAACGTCTATCTTGTCTTATTGTACATCATGTTATCCATGTTGCAGACAATCTTCATCGTCACGCTGAGTGCCTACAAGATGCCTACCTACGATGGTTACACGTACCCACTGGTAGCTCGTGCTATCGGCTTTGTCTTCGCTATGCTGCCTATCATTCCTTTGCCTATCTTCATGGTGCTCGAACTGATGAAAGCCAATGGCACCTTGTGGGAGGTGAGCTGAAAAATGGCTCCAGATATAATTTCTCGTCCATTTAAATTCCTTCTTTTTCTCACTGGAGGAAGATGCTAACTTCAGAACCACATCTGCGTCAGTAACTTTTCATGTTAATCAACCTTATTAGTATACCAAGTAGAAATGTAGTCTTCACACATAATTGATAGAAAATGGGGAAATATTTAAATCTTTAGTGCATGCACTCAAAACTGTGGGAAAAGTATTCCTCCCCAGATGCATCATCCAATCTGCTCATTGTTTACCATTGTAAACGTGATATCGTGAAGTTTTTGTAACGATTTTAGAAAATATAATTGTTGGTGTTTTGTCATTCCAGAGATTCCTCTTCACACTTCGGCCTTCTTCGGGCTGGAAACCATCAAAGGCGGAGTACCATCGTGATTATAAAACTGACAATCATGAATTTGTACTGCCACTGAAGTCTCTCTTACCACAACGACCACGTTTTCGCCATAAGTGACTACAACCTACATTCTTCCCGGCGCCTTGTCTTGTCGGTATTAGCAATACCCCAGCAATGTCACGTGTCAGGGATCGATCTGGTTCTCCGGCATGACAAGCTGTGATTAAACCACAAGGCTGAACCACAACTTTGATGTTAGTATCACTAATCTCAACAATATATATGCGGATGATATTAAGGGGAAACTCCTAATCTATAGGGAAAGTTTTGCAAGACTTATGTCATGTCAGAATGAAAATGTTTTGACAAGTATTGATGAAGGCTCGTAAAATTAGAAATGCATGAATCTCAGTCAATATTCTACACATTAAGATCCATATGTTATTTCTTAGATATGTTATGCCTATACAATGTGCAAATATGTCAGACACTTTATAAAGCAAAATACAACATACTGTCACTTATGACACTTGTGCAAATTGAAAGATATATTTCCTTAGATATATTCTACAGTATAATAAACATGTTTTAAGCTAGTCCAGATAAAATAGCTTCCAACCTCCAACTGTAACAGGGAGGCATAATACACTGTACTGTAATAGACTCTGTTTATATTGCTATACCAGTAGTTGAAGAGGAATACCATTTAAATTGTCAATGTTTAAAAAAATGCATAAGATAGAATGTTTTCCACCTTACCTATATATTGGTAACCCGTGTAAGGATAGTTTTGTTAGACTTGTGTCATCTAAGGATGATGTTTTGACAAGTATTGCTACTTTTTCTTTAGAAGGGTATATTATGCCTGTACATTGTGCAAAAATGGTTCCATAGCTTTCAGAGGCAATAATGTATTATTATTACTGGTTTTACCAGCATCAAACAAAATGTAAAATTATTCTGTAATGTGGGCCATGGCCTTTTTTTTTACTGAAACAAAACTGTCTGTCTGTCTGTCTGTCTAATCTATTCAGAAATGGCATGAAAAGAAATGATCACATTGTAAAGTCGGTAATCTTGTCCACAGCTTACATTGCTGGTTTGCAGTGGTACTCAGCTGTGCCAGACTGTTAATACAGCTCTATGAGAACATACACTGTCATTCTGGAACACAAAGCTTTGACTTATATGTTGGGCGAACTAGATGCCAACTGGACGTTGAGTGGTCATATTCGCTTGCACGATCATCAGATTCGTCCTGCTGCATGTGATGCCAGACCATACCATGATGCTATCACACAGCACCTACCCGGGCCTGCTATTGAACAGCATCTCTCTGCACTGTCTCCAAATGCGTAGTATACCACTTATAAATCATGGACTATTAATTAATAGCAACACAAAGTGTATATCCATAGATGCTGCTGACCTTCCAATTGCTGTGCACACTGTTTTCTAAGGAGCCCGGTGAAAATGTGAATCAGCAATATCAGTCCTGCAATTAAGAAGTATTTCTCGGCCTTCTTCTTCACACCGTGTAGGGTGTTTTAACCCCAATCTGTATACCGATATCGTTCCATCAGTCTCCGGTTCATATTGTAGACGCTTTTGAGGCTTTTGAAGAACAATGTTTTTGTTACGTTTTTTGGAACAAGCAAGTAACCAGGATAGGTCACCATGTTTCACAAGAGCTATGTGCAACGTTTGGACGATTTAGCTAGCCAGGGATCGTTGAAAGTAACATTACCCTTTTGATCATTCGCTGTTTCTTTTATTATGCAAATCTTCGAGGTTAAATTGTTAATAGAATAACACTCAACCTATGATATTGCTCAGTGTAATGTTTACATTAATTGTTCTGTATGAATTTGTGTGGACATACACTTTCATCAAGGACAACGCAATCACATATTTCATTTTATGATTCATGAATCTAAAATGAGGAATTCAACGTCATCATCTGTTTTTTGCAGGTATGAATAGATGCATGTATTTGTGTTGATTAATGGGATTCATTTGTAATATGTGGCAGGTGAACAATGTCACAGGTGAACAATGTCACACCGCTTTGAACAACGATACTGTAATGGAAAAGCACCGCACCATATATCATACGAATATTTTCGATTAAAACGGTTCAGTCCAATACGACTTTGTTACGTTTCATATAGGCTTGCAGTCTCCTTGAATAATGGTCATAAAAAGAAATGACACAAATAAAGAATTTAAAGCCAATGAACGAGCCTTTTTTTCAACACACATAGGCAGACAGGTCTCTTCTCATGGACAAATGCAGGATTGACACCAGTTATCCAATAATCACAGCTTTATAACTACAAACATAACATATAATTTATTAGTTGATCATTACACACAAAAGAGTGGTCGTACACACTTTTATGCCAATATAAAATTGTCAGTGTAAAATAATGTCAGTAGCAATAAAGTCAGCGAAAATAATATTCATGTTCCGAAGCAGGCCTTGGCTTAATATCAAGGGTGTAAATATTCACATTGCATTATTCTGTGATAGCTGTTCGGTTTCTGTAAAGTCCTTATTTTACGTAACTCAAAACTCAAAATAAGGAAATATTATACACAGCAAAGTATACAGTATCACAACTTGAGCATAACATAAGTCAATAAGACCGGTTCAAGTTGTTTGTTAAGCACAGAGACTTGTTACATTGTACATTGGCTAATACTCCAATCTCAACTACACACCATTGCGATTGCCCGCAAACTAAAGTACGTGTGAAGATCCGAGTTAGAATTTGTCTTCCGTAACCCATGCTTGTCGTAAGAGGCGACTAACGGGATCGATCGCGCGAGTGGTCAGGTTCGCTGACTTGGTTGACACATGTCTTTCACCCAATTTCATAGATCGGTGCTCTTGCTGTTGATCACTGTATTGTGTGGTCCTAACTCGATTATTTACAGACCGCCGCCATATATCGGGAATATTGCTGAGTGCGGCGTTAAAGCTCACATGCAACGTAAAGATTCTGATACCTTTCGGTGTGGACTTACCAAAACAAATCATCAAAAGTGCAAATTCAACTTATAAAGTTGAAAAATAACGCTATGAAAAAAACCGCGCGAAATCGGAGTTCAAACGATTCACTAATTTTTCCCCGACTTTTCGGGGGAAAACTGGTTTCAACAGCTGGGCTGCGCTCATAGCACGTGCGCAGTTTAATAGGTCCGCGCAACTTGGAAGCGGGCTGTCCGGTGAATACTCGGTGAAGGCTTGGTGTGAGCTATTTTCCTAATGTTTAGTTGATATCTCACAGGCGCGAGCTTTTTATATGTTATGACAGTAAATAAACTGTTTATATAATTTAATTTGTCTATTTCACCACACGTTCTTCTTACCGAGTCACTTTCTCAGTTCGATACTTAAAAGCAATGTCATTATTTAGCGTTGACAGAATTTCTAACTGTGATATAGATATGTCGTTGTCACAGACAAAACTCAATGTCTTGTTTTATTGACACCTGTGTGTCTGCCTGCCTGTCTGCTAATGACAATATTCAATACACAACTGCGATCACTGACCACATGCAATTTGAACTTAACACCAATCAGGCTATACACCATAAACAAAACGCATTGATTTATGGCCCGAGTTCGGTCTCTGTCACATTATGTAATTACACAGAAAGGCAGGTGTGATACTTGAACACATGACATGTTATGATGTCTGTTGATTGCAAAATGTTATACACCAAAAATGAGCACATATTTACAAAACCCAACATCTCTATATATACATCCACAATGAGCCGTGGGGGCATCTGCAAATGAACCAGCCGTTGCACTTGAGTGCACACCCACCCGCTCTGACTGGATTCGGTATCCCGGCTGCTTCGTTTCTTGGGAAGTAAACCCAAGTAGACAATATTGCACTTTTGATTTGCGATTGTACGCTTATAATTTTATTGATATGTTTTTTCATAACCAGCAATGTATATTATATGTCATGAATAAGTGATAATTGTGTTTTAATTATGTTTGATTTTTTGGTTGCATGTGACCTTTAAACAACAACTAACCAACCGACCAACCATCCAACCGCAAACTAACGTTAATCCCAAATTTTGGCAAATAATTTGGGGTAAAATATGTTATATTTGGGATTACACTTTCTTACTAAAGTACAGATTCTAGTACTTTTGGTGGGTTGAGTCCCATTCGGGACTCAGATATAACATATGTTACGTTTGACCAGCTGCTGGTCATGAGGTAATGTGAAATGACGCAAGCATGCACGTACACTACGTATGTGATCTAAATGACTTCTTAAAGTTCAGTACCATCTTGGATTATTTCATGACGGACTTCTGGTTCAACGTTATGACGTTGTTTGGGGTATGTTGGTACCTGTTCTGTGCTCTGCTTATCGCAGACTAAAACAATGAACGTATTTGCCACTGACTTCCGTCAGTGTCCAGCCAACAGCTGGACGTCACATGGCTTGCTCATGCACAAATAATGTAATTTGCTATGCATTCAGTAGCGTACGTCCGTCCCTCCCGATTCTTGTTAACGCAATATCTCATGAACTGTTGTACCCAATGTCTTCAAATTTGGTGACAGACTACATTGAGGGATTACGCAGACACCAGTCGATTTGAGTGACCTTGACCTTATCTGCAAGGTCACCACGACACTTTTGACCACTTTTCAAACTTATGTAAACGCGATCTCTCATAAAACATTGAACCCACTGTCTTCAATTATGTCGACAGCCTACATTGGGTGATTATGCAGACACCAGTCATTTCTTGTATGTGACCAAAAAATAAAAAGTGAGTGAGTGAGTTATTATTTAACGTCACATCGGCAATAATTCAGTCATATCGTGACGAGAACATATGTGACATGGAAATGGAATATATGTATATTATAAAAACCTGTCGACGAAGGACAGTAAAACAGCTAGAATATCACAATTACTACTAAAACTAGTATGGAAAGTTAAAACTGATAGCAGTATTTGGACAATACAATATAAAAACAGGCTATAGATCGCCAACAACTGCAGGAAGATCACCATACTATGGACAAAATAAAAAGTACTAAATATCTTATAAATATTTCATTCTTCTTTAGCGGCGGGGGACATTGACATATTAGTAGCAAACACTTGTTTGTATTGATTTGCAACCCTAGTTAATGTATTTGTATAACGTGTTGAAATGTGAAAATCAAACGGAATTCATTTGTGAATAGATTTCAAAGATAACTTTTGGGAAATCAACATGTAACAGAAAGCGGGGGCTAATGCAGGATGTAAAATTAGCATGTCCACAAAGTATTGTTGAAACTAGTGTACTCGTCACAGGCCACGTACCATGTCAGCTGACTGTATTTCCGAGTGCAGAGCTGTTACACACCATATCCCACCAACGTGTCTTTGACACATCTATCATTTTAAACCCACAAAACTGAAAATGGATTTATCTCAAGGTGCACAAGTAGTTTGGGTCTCAATGGGGAAGGGGTACTGTTTTGTTTTGATTGCCCGACTAAAACAATGATAAACTAAGTAAGCTTTTAAGAAATTAGAATCGCTGGTTTTACCGACTGGTTCTCAAACTGTTGTCATAAGTTTGAGTCACTTACGTTCAAATTCAAAGACCGAGTGTTTCAGAAATCGAACTACCCTATTGATAGCGTGAGTAGAAGTAATTTCAATTTCATCAAATGCAAAAGGCATGTCAAAGCAAAGCCCTTAGTTCTTGAAGTTCAGTGTGCATTGCATTCCGACGCATTGTATACCAGACATTATGTTCCAGGTACCTGATACTAAACATTAATCTAATTTCCAGCAAGGACAAAGGACGCTACCTGATACAAACCATTAACCCTGAAATCTCATTTCTACCAAGGACAAAGCAAGCCAGTTTGAAACACTGAACAAAAATGCAACAAGCTGAAAAATGGCGAATGCAACGTTTTACGATTCACACATGCGTATACTTATGGAAACTGTATGGTCATTTAGGTAACATCAATTATATCAGCAGAAATTCTCCAGTGTTTAAACTCTCTTTGTTTCTCGTGACCTCGTAAATGTTCTTTTATTTTCTACCAATTTTGGAATTTAACATTTATTTTACACACAAAATTTCGAAATGAATTCTCTTGCTTTGATTATTTTCTTGCTATTTCAAATATTTTCTTTAATGTCTATTTTCGTTTTGAACTTGATTATTTGCTCATTATGTTACGATAATACATTAATTCAAAATTAAAGAGTTACTCCCTTTATTTACTCGTTATTTCCAGCTTAATTGAAACAGGATTTAATGACATCTTTTTGATTATTTCCATTATTTTATCATATCAAGTATATTTTTAAACATAACGAAGTTCCGAGATTTCGAAGAAAATTGAAATAACGAGAAACTAACTGAAATTCCGAATTGCTCCTTTTGTAAATTTATCTTCTCGCAATTTCAAATATTTTCTTGATCATGTTTTCTTTTAACATTATTCATATTCTGAGTTGATAAACATTGTACACATCTGATAAGGCGAAATTACAATCTCCAGATCAAAGGTGCGCCACATTTGAGTTTCTTATACTCAATGCATGCTTAACAAGACATTCAACGCAGATTGCATTGTCCAAAATGGAAACGTTTGAAATGTTGAACACGAAATACGAAAATTCATTTTGCTACTGATCAAAGGTAAGACAATGTCAAAGAGTCTGGAATGAATGACTTCTGAAGGTTGTAATGATTTCATGAAAGGCCCCTGAGAGTTAATACATATATACCTATAACAAACATCACAGGTATATAAAGGCCCATTATGGTCCTACTTAACAGCTCCATGAATATGTGGCGGACAGTGTGCATGTACGTTGTGCTCCTGGCTGTGACACAGAGCTATGGCACATCAGCCTTTCGAGGACTTGATTTTGCAGGCTTCAAAGGGCCCAATTTTGCTCCCGATGACTTTCCTGATTCAAATTTGCAACAGTCAAGTTTTAGTAACCGCCTGAGAGATATAGAGGAACGTTTTGATGCCGTGACCAGCATGGAGAGCCGACTGGATGATATTGAGCAACGGCTAGAAGAATCAAAGACTAATGATACAGATGCCAAGGAGATTAAGACAAAGATGGAGACGATGGAGGGGGAGCTGGAGACCGTACAGGACACGTTGTCAGCTCTCAGTGCAGTCGCCAACAACGTTGAAAAAATTCAGGCAACAGTGGCTGCTTCTTCAGTTAAAAATGAACAGGACAAGCAGTCACTGGTCGGGACGTTAGCGACAACACGCGGCAGAGTTGCAGCTATTGAAGCAGAGGTCGTAGAAATGAAGTCGAAACTCAATACTAATGAAGGGAACTTTCAGAAACTAAATACAGGTATGATTAAGAAATGATGAGTTTGTTTGTTTTTGGTTAACGCCGAAATCAGCAATATGGCAGCCATATGATGGCGGACTGTAAATAATCGAGTCTGGGACAGACAATGCAGTAATCAACAGCAAGAGCATCGATCTACGCAATTGGGATACGACAACATGTGTCAACAAAGTCAGCGAGCCTGACCACCCGATCCCGTAGATTGCCTCTTACGACAAGCATGGGTTACTGAAGACAAATTCTAACCAGGATTCTTCATGGGTCGATTTAGAAATGAAATGTTATGACACATTTTGGTGTCTGTGTACCAAAAACAAAATTTCGAAGGCAGGCCAAATAGTTAACAATTATGACTCATATTGATACAGTTCAAGCATTACAATTTATACAAAACGATATTTCACAGTTGTGACATGATCTCAATATAAGTGACCACGGTACCTATAATCAGCTTTACGTAAATCCCAGGCTTTATGTGGCTTCATGAAAAAAAGAACACACTTAAAATGCTGAATTACGTTTGCAGGTTTGAACAGAGGAGACAGGACACACGATGTCCCACAGCAACGAGGCAAGTAAAACGTTTCACTTAATGACATTACCAGTTCTTATCTTCTATTTTAATTGTCTATTGTTTAAGGCAAACCTTGCTATATATTTCAAAGAACCTGACCACTCGATGAGTTCAGTAGCCGTTGCTAATATGTATTTGTCGATAGGTAAATATCTTACAGGAGATTGATTTGTGATATTCAAATGCATGGCAACTGTTTACTTACAAAGAAAATAATATTTTATTCACATGACGAATGACGTGCAAAAAAGTCCCAGTTATTATTGTCCAGGGAATATGTACGAGGCAAAGGGGGAAAGTCAGAATTCTCAACTCTATTCGAGCGAACGTGATTCGTTTATTTTCCAACAGTTAAATCAATGTTAGGTCTGCGTCTTAATAAATAGAAAATGTACAATACTAGCTAGTTACTGATAACAAATCGGGAGTCAAAAGTGTGACGGAATGAGATGTCTCTAGCTGGGTATTGCATCTCATGGGAGACAGAAATAAGCCACCAAGTGTCATTTTCATGCTTCCAGGCGTAAGGATCGATCTGTTTTGTGTCCTTGCATTTGAACATACAAACTAAAGAAACGTGTCTGCGAAAATGTGAGAGCAAAATTGAAGAAAGACACCGTGCCAACTAAGCTTATTAAAAACGAAATTTGACGATTATGACTTCCTAATGGGAAAGCCTCTCTGAACATATTTGCAACACATGGGGGGTGAGTGAGTGAATTAATATTTAACGTCACATCGGTAATGTATCAGCCATATCGTGACGAGAATAAAGAATATGTATATATTATAAAACCTGTCGTCAAAGGACAGTAAAACAACTAGACTACCACAGTTAGAATTAAAACCAGCAGGTAAAGTTAAAACTAATAGCATTATTTGGATAATACAATATTAAAAAAACAGGCTAAAGATCACCAGCAACTTTGGGGTGCGGTGGGCGAGCTGGCTAAAGCTCCAGAACAGTGATCCAGCGAGGTTGAGGTGTCGGGATCGAGCCTACCTGTGACCGGGTGTAAAAACCTTGGAGTCAGCTTTGTGTGCAGACTCGTTCAGTGTTGTCACAACCCCAAGTGTACAGTACACAGCCCTGTGCACTTAAAAAGAATCCACGAATCCGTTGGTATATGACCAGATGGTGGCCACTTGTATACCTGCAAACACCCAATTGCGGGTACAGCAACGTGCAGTAAACTTGGACAAAGTACTGTGACTATGTGTCCCAGCCCACCCAGGTGTGAATGGTTACCCGTAAGGATGAGAAAGCAGCAACAACTCGGCGCGCCTAGTGGCTGCAAGAGTTTTACGGTCCCCGGGGAGTTGAGATTGATAATACGATGTGCCGTTGCGATTGTCATCCAATGATCGAGGGAAAATGCCAGCGCCTTGAGCATGCACTAGTTGCGTGGATGTGTGCGCTATATAAATATCCTATTAAAAAAACCCCAAAAACCCCTTAAGGTAGATCACCATACAAGGGACCACAATGCCCTTTAACGGAGCATCCCTTAATTAAGACGACAGACTGTTTACCATATTTTCATAAATTGGTAATCTGATCCGAGATCCGGGGAAAGACACCCAAAATAGAAAAAGTTGCCAACTACTTATGAATAGACAATGCCATTTAGAAAGTGGTCAAATGTAACATGTTGTATTTAGCATTACACTTTCTTCGTAATGTACAGATGCTAGTACTTTTGTTGGGCAGAGTCCCATCCGGGATTCGAACCCGCGCCCTCATAGTCAGGCATCTAATCGCCAGCACACAAACTCAGCTGCCTAACCCACTGTGCCAACGTGGCTTCTTACAACGTTCGCAGTCAATACTACCACTTGTCCGACTCCGATTCCCACTTGGAAGCCGCGGTGGGTACAGTACTAGAATCTGTGCTAAGAAAGTGTAGTCCCATCTATAACATATGTTGCTAGTTTTACATCGCAGTCAGTCTCATTCGCATATCAAATATTCGAATCTGGGCCACAGAAACCAGTGATTAACTTACTATGATTTGTTTTCTTGCAGACGCACGGTGCCCATCCGACTTTATGTATGATGGAACGACCAAACTGTGTCTGAAGCTCGTGAGGGCACCCAGTACGAGTTCAGATGCCAACATTAACTGTCTGACACAAGCAGACGACGGAAGGCTGGTACAGTTGGACACCCGGGAAAAGCACGAATTCGCTAAATCTTATCTTCGCAGTCAAGGTAAAATGACATGTCTAACTTCAAACCTTGTAGGGCTGATTTCAATACAATCTTCTTGATTCATTTAAAATAATAAATGAATGTAAAGGCTAGGCGTGTCCTCAGATTACGATACAGATATATTATTCCATTTTCTGAATAACTTAACAAATTGTTGCCCTCCATTGTTATGATGCACCACTGTCTGACGTGAACTACAATTACCTTAATAGGACAAGGTACAGATACCTACATCGGGGGTATTCGAGACGATAGTGGCAAGTACACATGGTTGGATGGAACAGAGATCAAGGACGCTAACTGGTGCCCTGGTCAACCTGAGAGCAGAGGATGCGTGAGCCTGTGGGAAGGCAGGGGCTTCTGTCTGGACGACGTACACTGTAGCGGACGTATGGCCTCCCTATGCGAGGTCCCCATGGATGAGTAGAAGAGAAGTGTACGCTGTGATCTGGGAGACGTCATTTGATTGCTTTCAACTGAATAAAGTATTTTGCATGAACCTTGAACTTAATAATGTATTTTGCATTAAACACGATCCTTCCACTATTCCCAAAACGAACGTAGGTTAGTACATTCTTTTAGCTGCGTTATGTAATATCCCGGTTATGTGAAGAACGAAGTCTAAGTAATCATGCATTTAGACCAGACCAACTTCAGTCCGCATATCCAGGCCTTCCAGGAACGGTGACAAGCCATCGAGTCACAAAGTATGCATTTGGACGTCTTTTGAAATAAACATAGGTTCATACGATCTAATTACATCCCGACATTCTCACGGGAGAGTAACGGCTTAGTCAAGGAGTGAAAAGGATTTAACTCCATTTTGAGCGCCATGACGATCCAGGTTAGAATTGTTCTTCAGCAATCTATGTATGTCGTAGAGTAGTCTAAGAGGATTGAGAATCCATGAACGCTGACGTGTCATTCGGAGTTGTTGGATTCTATGCCCAGAGGTAACATCATCGTGCAAAGCGATATTGACATGTGCATCTATATGTTTGGAATGGGACCTCGTAACATGAAGTTGGTACAATGTGTGAAGCCCATTTCTGGTGTCCCCCGCCGTGATATTGCTGGAAGATTGCTAAAAGCGGCGTAAAATCATACTCACTGATTCACTCACTCATAACATGAAGGGGTGGTGGGGTAGCCTCGTGGATAAAGCATTCGCTCGTCACGAAGAGATGGGAACAATGTGTAAAGCCCTTTTCTGGTGTTATGGATGGAATATTGCTAAAAACTCATAAAATGGAGCATTTCTATGTATTCATAGTGGTGCGGCCCCAGACGAATCCGGTTTAGAAGTGGTCTACAGTAACTCATGCTTCTCGTAAGAGGCGACTAACGGCATCGGGTGGTCAGAATCGGTGACTTGGTTGACACATGTCATCGCATCCCATGTTTATGATGTTGATCACTGTATTGTCTGGTCCAGACTCGATTATTTACATTCCGCCATCATATGGCTGGAATATTGCCGAGTGCGGCGTTAAACAAACAAACACGCAAATCACAATTGTGCTTAAACATAACAGAATATATGAATGGCTTGTAATCAGTTTTAAACAGGTCTGTTCAACTGTTTCAACAGTTTCAAAAGGCTTTGAAAGTGATCAGAATGACAAGATTAAATACGCATATTCCAGAGGTGATAAAATAGCATTGTGAATGTTTGTGTGCTATACTGTATGAAATATATTGAACTTCCATTCGTAGTATTGATTGTATTTATGTAGATACGTGTTGATTCCCAAGTTGAAACAGAGTTAACTGGAATCAGTCTGTGAAAGGGGTAGGTTTGAAACCAACTAACACCATGGCAATGTGCTGTAATTAACAGAAATATTCCGATAGTAACATTATTACAAATCATTACAAATATATTACAATGGCAGTACTGTTGTAATTCCAGAACATTTTGGAGTCATATTAAACAACTGACAAATCAAACTCTATATCAGCGACTGAACGGGTGTCAAATTTTGGCACTGTGTTCGATAAGTACTGACATTGACCAAGATCATCTCAATAAAGCTGATCAGTTTGTGAAAGAACATGATGATAAAACTTGTAGTGCTTGCCATGATAATGACGTTCATCACATATTAAACAGTGAAATATCGAACGTTGAAATTCTTCAGGCTCTTGACAATCTCAGTGTTGGGAAAGCACCAAGACCTGATGCAGTTACACCTGAGATGATTAAATGGTGTAAATCTGACCTGTTACCTTATTTCCACGTGTTATTTAATGCTATACTTACTAGTGTAAATTTCCTGTGGAATGGACCAAGGGATTAGTGGTACCATTACACAAAAAATGAAAAGCCTCAGATGTTGATAATTATAGAGGCATAACACTTAGTAACATTATGAGTGAAGTATTTACATTCATTTTAAACAAGAGATTGACACTGTTTTGTTCTTTGTATGAACTGCTGCCTGAATCACAAGCAGGATTTAGAGCTGGTAACAGCACTTTGGACAACATTTTTGTTTTACAATGTTTAGTACAAAAGTATCTTATAAAGACTAATGGTCGCTTTTACTGCTTGTTTGTTAATTTTAAAAAAGCGTTCGATTCTATTAATAAAAAAATGTATTATGGCACACTGTATTGAAAAGGGGCATTCATGGTAAAATATTTAATGTTTTGTTTGATATGTATGCAAATGTAAAATCTGCTGTTAAAATTAGTAATTTGTCAATATCCAATTATGTTGATACATTTAGTGGTGTGAAACAGGGATGCGTACTCAGCCCTTTGCTGTTCTCGTTATTTGTGGTAGAACTTGAAAATATGTTGTAGGAATCCAAGGTTAGGGGTACTTTTGTAGGTGAAGAATTTATGCATATATTGTTGGTATTTTATGCAGATGACTTGTGTCTGTTTGATGACAGTGTTGTTGGTTTGCGGAGATAACTTGATGTACTTAAGCAGTATAGTATTAAATGGGGATTAAATGTTAATTTAGATAAGACAGAGACATTAGTGTTTAGAAACGGTTATGGGGTATTGGGATTTTCCAAAATTGAATATGTTGAACGTTTTCACATTAAATTTTGTAAATATGTTTTAGGTGTTGGGTATTATGTCTCAAATGATGCTGCTTTAAGTGAATGTGGCAGACAGGGTCTGTTTATTGATTATCATAAACGATGTATTTTGGTTAAAATTGTTAGCAATGCCAACTGTTAGATGTCCAAAACAATGTTATGTATAATGTAAACCATTAGATGAATGACATCGTATGACTTGGGGATCAAAGGTTAAAGGTCACATGGAACGTAAAACACAACTTTGCAGATTCTGATACCTTTCGGTATGGACTTACCGAAACAAATCATGAAAAATGCAAATTCAACTTATAAAGTTGAAAAATAACGCGATGAAAAAAACCGCGCGAAATGGGAGTTCAAACGATTCACTAATTTTCCCCCGACTTTTGGGGGGAAAACTGGTTTCAACAGCTGGGCTGCGCTCATAGCATGTGCGCAGTGAAATAAGTTCGCTCATCTTGGAAGTGGGTTGTCCGGTGAATACTCGGTGAAGGCTTTGTTGTGGGCTATTTTTCTAATGTTTTGTTGATATTTCACAGGCGCGAGCTTTTTATATGTTATGACAGTAGATTAATTGTTTATATAATTTCATTTGTCTATTTCACCACACGTTCTTCTTACCAAGTCACTTTCTCAGTTCGATACTTAAAAGCAATGTCATTATTTAGCGTTGACAGAATTTCAAATTGTGATATAGATATGTCGTTGTCACAGACAAAACTCAATGTCTGTTTTATTGACACCTATGTGTCTGCCTGCCTGTCTGCTAATGACAATATTCAATACACAACTGCGATCACTGACCACATGCAATTTGAACTTAACACCAATCAGGCTATACACCATAAACAAAATGCATTGATTTATGGCCCGAGTTCGGTCTCTGTTACATTATGTAGTTACACAGACAGGCAGATGTGATACTTGAACACATGACTTGTTATGATGTCTGTTGATTGCAAAATGTTATGCACAAAAAATGAGCATGTATTTACAAAACCCAACATCTCTATATATACACACACAATGAGCCGTGAGGGCATCTGCAAATGAGCCAGCCGTTACACTTGAGTGCACACCCACCCGCTCTGACTGGGTTGGGTATCCCGGCTGCTTCGTTTCTTGGGAAGTAAACCCAAGTACACAATATTGCACTTTTGATTTGTACGCTTATAATTTTGTTTATATGTTTTTTCATAACCAGCAATGTATATTATATGTTATGAATAAGTGATAATTGTGTTTTAATTATGTATGATTTTTGGGTTGCATGTGATCTTTAAACACTTTCTATTTAGTTATGGCTTTGGTTTAGTGAAGTGGGTGATATAAACATGTTTCTCAATACCTTTATACAAAGACTTAAAGACTGTAATCAACAAAATTGGTACTCTAAAATTTGTGATTCAAATAAATTATGTAATTATAAAGAATAATAATCTCTATTGTCAACTGAATATTATTTTTGTGCTATCCCAGAAAGAGAATACAGAAGATCTATATGTTTATTACGTATATGTGAGCTCCCGTTAATGGTTAATATTGGTTGACGGTGTGGCATTCTCCGCTGTAATAGAATATGTACATTTTGTTTTTTAGGTTGTGTAGTAGATGAATATCACTTCCTTCCAAAATGTCCATGACTATCTCAGATCAAAATATATACCAAGATATTATTGTAATTCACCCACGATGTATAAGTCTGGCGTGTAATAAGATAAATATTTTGTTAAATGTTGCAAAGTTTAAGGAAGCTCTATTTCTCAGAAATTCCCATCTGTCATTATAATGATTATTTTGTATTATGTTGTACATGGGCCGTTGGCCTTTATACCGAATAAAGAAATTGATCAGTGGCAGTACAAAAATAGAGAGACCATACAAATTCAGTATTGGACTCATATAGGTGCGTCAAAAGCATACAAATATACTGTTTCTTTCTAAAACGTCATTTTTGTGTGACTGTAACAGCTTCAGCGCCAGCACGCGGCAATTTTAACTTTCCCCTTGTTTTAGAAGCGTTTGAAGAAATATTCGCCAAAACGTCACAAAGAAAACACGCAAAGCAAAATCCACGTCCAAGTGAGCGGAAAAGCATACGGTATCGATCACTATAAAAAGGAAAATTTAATTTTTTCATTCGGTTTTGCCTGGAATAGAGGAAATCATCACGACTGAGTGCCACCAATCGAAACATCACCATAGGCCGCCTTGAAGCTGGGGAGTCTCAGTCGACAGTTCAACCTTCATTAGAGCACAAATTACATTCGACAGATGCAGTGTCATGGTGAGGGGTGAAATATCCAACACACCAAGATCGGATTTGGTAGTGGTTCAGGGGAATTTGACAGCAAATCGGTACATCAGCGATGTCCTTGCACGTCACATGCTTCCGATTATGGACCGACAGAGGGACTTGTTCCAGCATGACAACGCTACTTCACACA